ACTGTTCTATTTGTAAACCAATGTTCTGTATTTGTAATCCTTTTGTAAACTTGTATCCGAGAATGTGCTTGATTTCATCAACTGTTACTGTAAACTGTAATGTAATACCATAATCTGTATCTTGTAAACTAGTACTTTTGAAAATGTACAAAAGTTTAGTTAATTATACATTAACGTATTGTTAATATCTTTTATCTGAGTTATTATAACCATACTGAGACTAGATGGCCTGACCCAACGCTATGAATGCGTTGAAAGCTGTTGATAACAACTGTCACTAGTAGGCGTGTATGTCTGACTGTAGCTAGCAGTCCGAGTGCGGTGTTGTCAATCCCAATATAGATCTATACACACATTGTTTCGATCCCCCGCTGGAGATTCTGGTTATAATGTCAGGACTTTAGTATATTGTTTAAATGAATTAAACATCCTGTATCAATTGACTCATAAAAAGCATATAAACGTTACATGTATAATAGTTATGAAAACCCAATCATTCTGAAATAAATGATTGATAGTATGTTCTTGAATTAGTATTCTTAACATGTATCTGAAAGATGTATATCCTTGAATAGCTTTGAATCAAACATTTGTTCTTGTAAAACAATGTACTTTAGTATACTTGAATCGTAAATTAGTGTTTTGTGAATCATAAATTATACCTATTGTAATTTATATGTACTTCCTGAATTGATAACGAGTGTTCATGAATGCAACCCCTTGATCAACATGTTACAAAGGGTTATTGAAACTTTTTGAACTAACTTTTATATTTGTATACATATAAATATATATATATATATTATAATATATATATATATATATATATATATATATATAAGTAAATTTAAATGACATTCGGACAGATAACTGATGCTTATAATCCCACATCCAAACAAGGAAAAGGAACCAAAGTGGGTTATCAGTCCTAAGCCTTTTAAATCTTATTTATATAAATATATATAGATATATATATATATATATATATATATATATATATATATATATATATATATATATATATATATATATATATATACAAATATGATTTTGGAAGAAAATATAAGTTTATAAAACATTTAAAAGAAGTTAATATTTTGAAATTCATTTGGTGACTTGATGTCATTTTGATATAATCATTGAAAACCATTTGATTTGATAATAACTGAAATTCATTTTATAAAGATATTTAAAACCATTTGTTTATAACACAAAATCTTTGCGTTAGACTTGTATCCCCCCCCCCCCCCTTAAAACAGTAAAAACTATGAAAATACGGGGGTATGAACTCACCTGTAGTAAGTTATTCAAATGTAAGATCGATGTAGGATGCTAAGTGTTAAGTGAAGTCTTGAACACAACGGATCCAATTAAGCATATAATGATATATATATATATATATATATATATATATATATATATATATATATATATATATATATATATATAATTAGTGGTTATACAACTAATTATGCTAAGAAATCATCTTATGGACTAGGAATCACTTAGATTGAAATGTTACAATCACATGTGATTTCATTAAAGGGGTTTGCGGCCACACAAAGGTGTTTACGGCCATGGAGTGTACGGCCCATGCAGTGTACGGCCATGGAGTTTACGGCCAATGATGTTCTTCATAGGAGTTTACGGCCAAGGGAGATGCTCATGGCCGTAAACTCTTATTGTTCTTGGAAATGATTGTTTTCAAGGGTGTAAGTTAAGAGCTTCTATAGGATAACTAGCATATGGAAGAATACTTACGTTTTGAAGCTTGAATTGGGTATTCACGGTCTAAAGAACTAGTGTGTGTTCTTGGTGTTCTTGAAGATCTAACCAAAATAGATGATTTCATGGATGAATGCATAGGGTTTCACTAGATTAAGCAAGGTATCAACTAATAAATGGAAGAAACACTTACTTATTTGAAGATCAAGATGAAAACTCTTGATGATAGTTGAGAGAAAATCGAGTTTCTTGGGTTGGAAGTGTGAGAAATGGTGAAAAATGAAGGAAATCTATATATATGTGCGAGGGTTCACGGTCCGAGGGTTTACGGCTGTGAACCTCGTTTACGGTCCGAAGTCGGTTAGAGTTTACGACCGTGAACAAGTTCCAATGCGGTAAGGTTCGGCTTCCGAGAAGATAAGATTCGAAGAGTATACGGCCGAAGCCGTTTACGGCCTCGTTTACGGCTGCGAGGGTTTACGGCTGCGAGGAGTGTACGGTCCGAGGAGTGTACGTCCATAAATTCTTTGCGGTCCGAAGCGAAGGAATAATTGCGAAGTTTCTCTTTTTTCAAGCCTTTTCCTTCCAAATTCCATTGTAGATATTGTAAGGATTTTAACAAATAAAGGTTATTATTATAACCTAAATAAAAACCCAAACAATAAAAAGGACTTTAAATGACCTTTGTTTGACTTTGGTTGACTAGAGTTGACTTTACAAACAGAAAATAACGGGATGTTACACCTAATCCAAAAGGAGGCCCGTAAATCGAGGTTTTCCATTAACCTTGGGGCCACTAAGATGTACTTGGATCTGAAATGAGATTATTGGTGGCCCTGTATGAAGAGAGATGTGGCATGGTTAGTAGAGAGGTGCTTGACCTGCCGAAATGTCAAAGCAGAGCAACAGCACCCTCATGTCAAGTTGCAGCCTTTAGAGGTTCCTTTGTGGAAGTGGGAATAGATCTCCATTGATTTTATTACCAAATTTCTGAGGACTGTGAGAGGTGTGGATACGATCTGGGTGATTGTGGACCGACTGACGAAGAGTGCTCACTTTCTGGCTATAAGTGAGAACTCTTTTGCAGAGAAGTTGGCTGAGGTCAACATTCGAGAGGTGGTGGCTCGGTACGGTGTAACATACACGTTTTGAAATCGTGTTTTAAGTAAATAATATTATGAAATATTATGTGATATTGAGTATTGAGTTCTAACAGATAGTTTTTACTAGAAATAGGGTAAAACTATGTTTAGAATCACTCGGAAAATATTGGAAGTCTTATGAGATTCCAATTAAAAGCCAAATAGCGAAATTTAGCGAAAATATAAAATTTGAAATAAGTAAAATTTTATTATTGAAAGTTGTAGATAATCTCGTTAGAAACATTTAGGCGAAAACCTCATCGAAATCCGAGTTATAACGAAGAAGTTATAACCAATCGAAGATCCGCGATAAAACCGGCACGGTGCCGAATGACGTAAAAAGTGAGTTTTTGATAAACTGCTTTTTAGCCTTAGTGATCTAAATGAAAGTCGTAGTATTCGTTAAACCGGGAATTTTGATAAAAAGAACGCCAAAATCTGACTTCGTATGAGGAAGTTATGATTTTTCTAAGTTTCAGCTTAGCAGTAGACAGCTAAAAACTCGAATTTTAGATCGAGTGATTTTTAGCCGACACACCTAAACGAGAATCGAAGGTCTCGTTATTAGCAGTACAACGGTAAAAAGTCTGACGAAAATGGACGTCGGATTAAGAAGTCATGAATTTTTAACGGATTTACCAGTCCCAATCTGTTAAAAATAATAATATAAAAATAAATTCAAAATTTTCCGACGAAGCCTAAACGAAAGTTGTAGAGCATAATTTTCCCTACGCGTGCATATAAAGAACGTCAAAAACGGAGCCCATATGAGAAAGTTATGGATTTTACAAGATTGAGCACAATTTTCGAGAATTTTCGCATGAATAGTGCCAGCCACGTCACCCTCGCTCTGAGCTGGCCACGTATCCGAAGCAGCTGCATGGCGCGTCCAAGAAGCGAAGCGTGTCCCACAGGTGTCCGAAGTCGATCACGTGATTCTTGCATGCGTCCGTCGTGCCCGACCCTTGTGTTGTTTCCTGATTCGACCGAGGATGTTGGCCCGATCCGAAGTAAGTAGCTGCGTCATCCGACCGATCCGAAGCGCACACCTGTCCGGCCCTCGCATCCGAGCCTCGCCCAAGCATCCGCATGTTCCGAGCCTCGCAGACACCTGCCCTCTCCCCCTTGCTTCGGATCCGAGGCTCGCACCTATATAAGGGGTGCGAGACCTCCCGGGTAAATGTTAGAAATTTGGCAAAATTCACCCCTAAACTTATATTTCTTCTACTTCCACTTCCCCGAAGCCCCGGTATTAATTCCAACGCCTGAAACACGCCCCGAAATTCCCGAGAAGCCCGAAAAATTTATCTTTTCGATTTCGAAGCCCAACCCTCGTAGGGCCCGGTTTTCAACGAAGAAAGCTAATTATAGTAACGAAGTGCTCCCCAAATTACTATTTTAACCCCCGGTTATTTCACTGTGAGTTTAATATATAGGAACAATTGTTTTGTTGTTATATGTGCTTGTGCTTTTCCAGTATCATCTCGTGTTATTATTTCCGCTATTTTTATAGCAAGGTTGTACCTCTGACCACGAAGTGTATGACATAGGCATCACTTGGGTATTGGTATGTACCATTGACCATGAAGTGTATGAAATAGGCATCACTTTGGCTTCGGCAGTATGCTAAGATAAGGCTGAAAGCGTAAATATTTTAGCAAAAATGATATTCCTGAGTATCTTCTGTGCCATTTGGGCCAAAGCTTTATTGATATATATCAAGTATGGAAATTGTTATGTCTCATTGATTGTATATCTTTGAATTAAATCAATGATTGATATGGAAGGTTTGTCACATGATTCACATATGTCTTTGTTGTTCCTTGTTCCTCTTTGCTTCTGCCTTTGAGGTGGATTCTATCAAGATTCCGGCGGTTAGAGCCCATATCTCATACACCCTGCTGTCATTTGTTTTGTGATAGAAATAGTGAAGCAAGTATTTGTCTCCTATTTCCCACTCTTTTTCTCCTCTCTTTTCATTCTTAATCATCATCCATCAAAATCCACTTTTATAAATAACCCCATGTGGTCATGTTTCTTTTTCACTTAATACATAAAGAATCATTAAAAGAGAGAAAAAAGCAGGAATACAAACCTTGAGAAACATTTCCAAAGGAGCATAGAATATTTATTCTACTTCTTTAGCATTTGGAACCGGATTAAGTGCTTTTTATCCCATAGTATTCCAATCACTGGAACCACACTAACATTACCCTGACATTACAATAAAATTCAGTTTTATAAAATTAAGCAATTTTTTTTAACTTGAATACGAAATGTGAAGTTCAAATAATTAAAGTTGTCTAGATAAATGATGCTTAAAATATGTACAAGAAAAAGACAACATAGTTGGGGTCTCGGGGAAATGGAAAGATAAATGAGGCCTATTTTCTAAAAAGGGAGCACAATACCTTGGTTACAAAAGGTTCAAGAACAGTAAAAACATCCACAAGCGCTGGCTTCAATCCAATTTCCTCCCCAACCTCCCTCAATGCGGTTCGAATATCATATGTATCCTCTTCGTCAGCTCTACCTCTTGGCAAAGATACTTGCCCTGCAAAACAAAGTAAAACGGACTCATGTCAAGTTCTTGAGGACATTTAATCAAATATCTAACGTACACGACATTGTTTACCAGAGTAGGATGACAGTTTCGATGATCGTTGGGTTAGAATAACATTGATATCGTCTCCTTCCTCGAACAAGCATATCAGAACTGCAGCTCGGTTGGGGTTTTTGGATCTTTCGGATTGGTTGGTCCAGATTTTAAATTTTATTACAAATTTGATCCAAAATTTACAATTTAGGCCGGCATTTTAAATTTTAATACAAATTCGGTCCAAAATCTACACTTTTGGCCTAGATTTCAAAAAATTTGTTACAAATTCATCCTAAATTTAGTTTTTTTACGTCTTTTTTTGAAAATTTGTTTCGGATATGTTTTTTTTTCTATATAAACATGTATTTTATAAAAAATAAATATACAAACACCTTTTTAGAATAAATGTTTTTGGATACAAACACATTCTTATAAAAAATATATATACAAATTCATATTATTATAAAAATGTATACAAACATGTTTTTACAAAGGATTATATATATATATATATATAATATATATATATATATAATATATATTATATATAAACTCATATTTCATAGTAAATATATTTGCATATATTTATGTATTTATATACACACAAATAGGTGTTTTATGCATTTTTTTTATAAAAAGGTATTTCAATACATTTTCTATAAACAACTATTTTATAATAATTACATTTATATACAAACACATTTTTATTAAAAAATGTACACAAACACGTGTATTACAAAAATATATACAAACATGTTTTTATAAAAAATATATACAAACACGTATTCTTATAAAAATTTATACAAACACTCTTTTATTAAAAAATATACAAACACATTATTTTTATAAAACACGTGTTTGTATATATTTTTTTATAAAAAACGTGCCTGTATACAAAAGTATTTATTATAAAATATGTGTTATAAAAATATAGACACATATAATTCCCAAAAAAATATTTTTATGATTCATTTTTAAGTAAATTAAGAAAAAATTCACTTTTTGACAATTTTAGTGAATAACAACAAAATCATTGTATAAATGAATCATGGAGATGTTTTTTTGAGAATTTTTTCTTGTGAATCATCTTACAAATGAATCAGCTAATGATTCATTTTGTTTGTTCGCGAAAAAAATATGTAGAAAAAAAACTTCTTACCTTCCTACCAAAAATTTAATTCTTATTTGATCTTGACTCTCTCTCTCTCTCTCTCTCTCTCTCTCTATATATATATATATATATATATATATATATATATATATATATATATATATATATATTAATCTATTTGTGTGCATATAAAACATAAATATATACAAATACGTTTATTATAAAAAAAACATGTTTGTATAAATTAATTTATAAAAACGTGTTTGTATTCATTTTTTTATAAAATACGTGTTTGTATACATTTTTTTTATAAAACCCCGATTTATAAAAGTTTTTATATAGAAAAAAGAAGGTTTTTATGTGAAAATATGCTTTGTTGAATAAATATGATTTATAAAGAAATTAACATATTTGACACATTTTTTTAAAAGATGTAAAAAACCAAATTTAGGATGAATTTGTAACAAACTTTTGAAATCTAGGCCAAAAGTGTGACATTTGGACCAAATCTGTAACAAACTTTGGAAATCTAGGCCAAAAGTGTAAATTTTGGACCAAATTTGTAATAAAGTTTAAAAATACAGGCCAAAAGTGTAAATTTTAGACCAAATTTGTAATAAAATTTAACATTTGGGCCGAAAGCATAATTTTTAAAAGTTCAATGACCTGTTCACCGGGTAAAATGGTCAAAATGAAGTTAAAATGAATATATTTGTCAGTTTTTTGGGAATTAATTGACTAAAAAAATATAATAACTAAATCGATTATGATCCATAAACATAAAGATTTTTTAATAGATATTTTGTTTTTATTTGTTGAATTGTAAATATATTTTTGTTACACATAATTATCATTATTCATGTTCCTGTAATTTTAATCGTGTGATAGATGTGTGAAATGCACATATAAATATATAATATCAGGGTTTAAAAATCCAAATAAACCCAAATTATTATTAGTGTTATGAAAAAGTATAATTATGGAAATCAACTATATCAATCAAGATTTTAATTTCGTAAAACGGATATACCAGTAGATTTCTTTTCTACTTGGTTGGTTATATTTAAAAGAAAACAAAACTGCAAAAGTAGTCTATGTGGTATGTATTTTTTTGGGTTTTGGTCCAAATGCTGATTTTTTTGCTTTGTGGTCCTTTTGATCTAGTTTCGTTGTAAATTTGGTTCATTGGTAAATTGAAATGACTTTAATACCCTTGGGTATTTATTTTCTATTTTTCTTTCATTTTTTTAAAATCCAATATTTATTTATTTATTTAAATATATAAAAAATAAGACTCCGATGGATACTCATTTTAATTAAGGGAAAACTTCACAATTATAATACCCATGTTAAGAAAACAATTTGTTCCAAATTACATTTGTTAAAAATCAGAGTAATATAATAAACATGGAATCCTCAATCTTGCTAATGAGTGTGTACAGTCACACATTCATCTTCCCACAATCACCGATGATACCTGAAAACAATAACAGTCGGGTAAGCACGAAGCTTAGTGAGTTCCCCCAAAATATCACACACCACAAAACATATAAAAATATGCATATTGGGCCCACAGTCGTCGGACTAGATTGCCCATGTATGTTTGCATGCTACCTCAACCAAACCGCTCCTTTCGAGCATCCGTGCCTACGGCTTACAGTCGGCCTGCACCTGGTATATTGGCCTACAACACACAGGAGGACCGCCTCAACCTCACCCATCAGAATATGCTGACATATATAATCAAACAAATAATCAATTAGGCACATAAGCACATGCAACTATAAATCTACCCGTCGAACATCTCCATACACCCTACTCGGCCCTCACAGCACACTGCTAACTACCAGTAAATCTCCAAGGAATGCATAACCATATATCACCAAAGGTGAGATAAACACTCGAACAGATAATCCTAATCTAGTGCCACAACCAAATAAGGAACAAGCAAGAAAGCCTAGATCTAGGGTTCTAAGGCTATCCTACATGGCTACATACAACTTCTAGGCCACTCCACTAGATGATAACCAGCCTACTGGTACTATAACCAGTATATCACTACTCCTATATCCCAACATACAAGGATATATATATATATATATATATATATATATATATATATAACAAATCACTACTACATAGCAACATCCTATACATGAGGATATGTAACACTAATCAATTAGGTCGAATAATCTAGTGGGTCGACATCGGTGCCTTCAACTCACTAGTACAGTGAGGAAACTTGTTAGGTCACTCAATTGTATAGATTTGATGATGCAAAATATATCCACTATGTTTAGTTAGTTAATCTGAAGATATGTTGATGGAAGTTCATATGTCGAAGACTAAAGAACATTCCCTGATAACTGAAAGACTCTGAAGACTCTATCAGCACCAAAGGCATGAAGACACCATCTACTGAAGATTGATCAGTGTGTCTAGACGCTGATGGTTATACACTGATGACACACTGATCAGATGATATGCTGATGACACACTATCTGCTGAAGCTGAAGCTGGTAGGCTTGACCCTGACGCTGATAACTGAAGTTGAAGCTAATCTCCCTGACACTAAAGCTGATGCTCTGATCAACTTCTGATGTGCTGGTGCTGATATCCGAATCTGGAGAAAATATGATCTGATCCATTCCTTATTTACATGTTCAGTTTATATTTAGATAAGACACAATCATTTGATTAAAGGGATTCACTAGATTAGATTAGTATATATACAACATTAGGGTTAACCCTAATGTTGGGCGTCTTGTAAATGGCTTGGTGTCGTAACCGTCTTTGTGACAACCAGTTTTTTTGATGAAAACAAACTCTTTCTTGATGAAAGAGAAAATGTGCAGAATCTCTTGTGTTCTTTACTTTTTCTGTTCTTCATTGTTTTTCATAGTTCTTTCTAGTTTATATTTGATCTACGAATCTTCAAAGGTTTAGGACTTTCAAAACTCACCTGAATTGATTGCTCCCACGAACCTACTAGCACCAAAACATGGTAGAACCTTAATCAATAGCCTAAAACCTTCACGTTTAACCCAAGTTCAAATTGGTCAAAGTCAACGGTCAACAACCATTCATGACGTGACACTCCCTTTGTCACGTCGTGGTCAGTCAAGGACAAAATAGTCGCAAATCTTCAATAGTCACGACATGACAGGCACCTTGTCACGTCGTGAGAACTGGCTAAAGGGCAGCTAAATAGATTAATCCCCTAATCCATTAAACCATGAACTCAACTCCTCCAAAAGGCTTCCTTACACCCCATAAGCCATAAACATTGATGCTTTAAGGTCTTACATGCCCAATGCAAGTCTTGAGTTCAAATTAGGTCATTGATGAAGAAAATGAGGTCAAAACCTCAAACATAAGCTCAAACTCCACCAAACTTCAGATCTACCACATCTAACCACCAAGGGACTCTAAGGACCCATAAAGTTTCCAAATTTATTAAATCCCAACATCCTAACTAACCTAAACATGGATAAAAATGTATAAAACTCTAGGTCTAGCACATAGAAACCATAAAGTATGAAGCTTGAATACTCACAAAGGTCTAGAGAAGTTACTAAGAGATGTTAATGAGGTTTCCAAGCTGGATCTATGCTCCAAAGATGATCCTTTCTTCTTCAAGTCACCAAAACACCACCAAAAGCTCAAGAACTCATAAATGGGGCTAGGGTTTCGTTTGAATGGAGGTAGAGGTTGAGGAGAATACCCTAAGGCATGAATTAAGATCCTTAAATATGGAGAGAACCCTAAAATTCATGAGCTTGGGCTGAAACTATCCTCACGACGTGACCGTCCTCTTGTCTTGTCGTAACAAGCCCTCAAGCAAACGCATGTTCATTTTAACTTGTCACATCGTGACCTCCCAGTGTTCGCATTGTGACACCCGGTTTTTGCCAAAAACCATGCCTTTGACTCATGGATACCCTAAACCGATCTTCTCTAGAAAATGTGTGTTACAATTCTCCCCCATTTAAATTAGAT